CAATGAAAACCTTTCTTCACTCATTACATTGGGAAAAAATGGTGTTTCTAACATATGTTTCCTACTAAAATACATCCTGAGGTTTGGTTTCTGAATTATTCCCATCAGCATAAGGAAACCTAGGAATATCCTAATTTCATTCGAAGTTATGGGAACCCACTTTTGAAAGCGCTATTTTATTAGCGTCGGGGCAAGAAACTGTCCCGCCAGACAAGTTACGTGACCAAATGCCATGGGGCTCCGATAAGAGGGTGTCGCAAAGCAGAAAAGGAATAACAGATTCATAAATGTTGACACAGGCGTCAGGCAACTTCGACCCCGAGGTTCGTAACATTGTAAATCAGACGCAGCTTCTTTGTCGCCAGTAAGCCAAGCCAGTAAAAAGAAATACACACACAGATAACAAGCACTCAATGAAAGTTAGCTAACAAATTATCTCTCTGTAAGCAAGTCGGAGTGTGAGTTGGAACAATTCTTTCGTAAGCAGCAGACACCAGATGCTTTGTCCCAAGCAAAGCGAGTAAAAAAAAATACCACACACAAACAGATAGCAAGGAATGAAAGAAGTCAGTGTTAGCTGACATATACATTCACTGGAAGTACACACATCAGAGCGTAGGCGTTAAGAATTCTTAGTGAAAAGTTTGGACGCAATATATGCAGCGCGCACGCTTACAGCACGGCTTTGAGTGGCTACAGACGGTGCGTTGCACACGCTTAGAGATTTAAATGGCTCCGCTAAAAGTCACGCTCAAGGGGTTAAGGCCAAATTGCAAGGGTTGGCCCTGCAGTTCTTGAATGGAAGGGAAGAGCTAGGCCGAGATGGATGTTCCTACAAAGTTCTGAGGCAGGCACTGATTGAGAGGTTCAGTGACAAGCTCCCTGACCAGTATTACTATACCAGACTACAGGACGCGGTTCAGGGGAAGAATGAAAGCACGGAGGAGTTCAGCGACCATTGTAGGAATATGTGTCTAAGAACCATCAGGAAGGTTAACGACGAAGAGACCCAGCATATAATTAATGAGGTGGAACGTAGGTTGTTGACAGCCTATGTTCACGGTCTTAGGGGCACAGTGGGGCAACAAGTACAATTTCAGATGCCCAGCACAATGGAGCAGGCGGTCAGGTTAGCGGTCACAGTAGAAAACGTGGAGAAACACAAACAGCTAACCGAAGGAGTCAACAAGGTATTTACCGCTAGGAGCGACGTTGAATATTTCCATTGCGGGAAAAGAGGGCATTATGCTAGGGATTGCCGACAAGAAACCCCCTCCATGACGTCAGGTCGGAGGTCGTGGCGAGATCAGAGCTCTAGGCGGAGGGACCCACCCTCCTGCGACCTTCTGCTCACTCGAGGAGGTAGAGGAAGGGTCGGATCAGGCAGGAAAAGCTTCCGGGGACCAGCGCGGCCTTGGGGCCCACCTGAGGACATTCGCTCGTCAGGCATCCAGTGCTTCCATTGTAATGAGTTTGGGCATAGGCGTAGAGACTGCCCAAAAGTTTGAGCTGCCCAGCACCCAAACGGTCAGGGTTCAAAGTCCAGATCCCCAGTGTCAAACCAGCAATAGAGTGCATGACGGTAGGTCGCACGTAGGAATTACTG